GCATCTGCCTTTGGCTCAGGTCATGATCCCAGGATCCTGGGATCGAGCCCCACATTGGGCTCCTTGCTCAGTGGGGAGCCTGCTTCTCCCTCTCCCTCTGCCGCTCCTCCTGCTTATGATCTCTCTCTCTGTGTCTGCCAAATAAATAAATAAAATCTTTTAAAAAAATTTCCATATTTTGAAATTTTAAATAGAAACTTTGTGTTTTAGGACACTTTCAAATTTATAGAAAAATTATGTAGTATAGAGAGTTCTCATATACCCCACAGCCAGTTTCTATTATTATCTTACATGAATATCATTCATTTATTAAACTTAATGAACCAATATTAATACATTATTATTGACTAAAGTCTATATTTTATTCAGATTTCCTTAGTTTTTCCTAATGTCCCTTTTATGTCATGCTATAATTATGCTCTAGCCCTGCTGGTGCTGTGATGAGATGTGGGGGAGGGGAAGCATTCTATAATTTTATGAATAAATATAGTCTTTCCTTGGGTCTTTGTCTCTGGGCTGTACCCTTTACAAATATTTCTCCAGTGCTATAGTATTTTTCTCCTTATATCAAAAGGGAGAAACAGTAACACTAGAGAGGGCTTGAATGTGAGGCATGCCCTTCTTCCAGGTGGGATAAGCCTCTGCTAAAATCTCCCTTCAGAGTAGGCCTTTGTTAGAGAGGATGTTCCATGTGCATTCTATAATGACTACTCTTGTCCTCCTGCTGCCAATCATAAAAGGATCTTTCCTGGATCTTGACCTTGAGAAACTGGTGTGTTTCCTCAGGGCAAAAAGTATGAGTGTCCCTAAAGGACTCCAGGTCCAGGAATTTCTCACTCTTAAACTAATCTATACTAATCTTCAGCAATTAGTCAAAATTACCATGTAAGTATACCTGTCAGTGCTTATGGCTCTGATGGCTTCTATGCCAGGTGAGCAGATCCAACCCATGACTCTGGATTCACCTGTCCCTTCAGATTTGGGATTGGTAGTGTGCTCCGCCATCTCAGCTCTCTAATAGGTCAAAAACATTACTTTCAGTTTTGCTTCAGCTTTGCATCATGTGGGTATGGCAGTGATGACTTCTAAGCTGCTTTTATTTTGGTGCCAAAGCTGGAATTCCCCAGTCTCTTTTAGTAGGAACAGTATGTTGACTTGTGGGTCTTTTTACCTTGTTTTGCTGCTTTTGATTTGTTTGGTTTGGTTCATTTGCTCTTCTTCCTTGGAATGTCTATGATCTATTGAGTGCCAGATTCTTGAAAAAAAAAAAAAAGTTGACAAGGCTCTACCTTATGTTATCTTCCTCTTAAAAGGATTTAATTTTTTTCTGGAAAGCAGAGAAATTTTAGATCACCTTGATCCAGGTAAGGCTGTTTGTCAAGGTGTGTTAGTGTTAGTTATTTTCAAATGTTCTCTAAAGAATAATTCTTGGTTTTAGCCACTCTGTGATTTCAACTTAAATTCTCTTTTTTCTTTTCCTTTTTCTCTTAACTAAAGAAATTTCGTCTTGGTGGGACCTGAATTCCAACCTCTGTCTCCTCAGCATTGCAAGACTGCTAAAATTTTTGTGGAGTGCTTTAGTCACATAGCTACTGCTTTTTGCTTTGTGTGGGTCACTCCTTGCATATGCAATTTAAGTGTCTGCAAATACCTTATTATGGGCCGAATCGTGTTCCCCAAATTCATATGTCAAACCCCAGTGCCTCAGAATGTAACCTTATTTGTAGATAAGGTCTTTAAAGAGGTGATTAAGTTAAAGTGAGGCCTTTAGGGTGGGGCTCTAATCCAATATGACTGCCATACTGTTAAGAGAGATTGGCACCAGGGATGTGCGTGCCCAAGGGATAACTGTGAAGAGACAGCAAAAAGACAGGCTTTCAAAAGCTAAAGAGAGAGGGGGCACCTAGGTGGCTTAGTAGGTTGAGTGGCCGACGTGCTTTTGTCTCAGATCATGATCTCAGGGTCATAAGATTGAGCCCCACATGGGCCTCTGTGTTGGGCATGGAGCCTGCTTAAGATTCTCTCTCTCTCCCTCTCTCCCTGCTCCCCCTTTCTCTCTTTCTCTCTCTTCTTCCTCTCAAAAAAAAAACCCAAAAAACAAAACAACAACAACAACAACAACAAAACCTAAAGAGAGAGACCCTAGAGGAATCCAACCATGCCGGCACTTTGATCTTCCAGAACAGTGAGAAAATAAATTTCTGTTGTTCAAACCACCTGGTGTGGTATTTTGTTACGGCAGATTTAGCAAACGAATTCATGCGTTATGAGCAAATCTGAAAGAGAATTTTAGTCTCATATTTATGGTGTTCTCTCTTATCTCTTTCCTCTTATATCTCAGTCTGTTTGTCAGTCTCAAAGTATGTCTTCACTATCATTAACTTGGTAAGATTGAAACAAGACCCAGATATCCCTTTTTTTAAGGCTCTACTTTCCCTGGTATGATTTGGAAAATCATTCAAGGAAAAAGCTGAAGTGACTCTGGAGCTCAGCTTGGTATGACCTCCTCCTCTCAAGGATTTTCATCCCTTAAATGTCTGCCTTGTGCATTTTTTCCAGGTTTTGAAATTGATCTTGGTGGTAGGGTTAGTCTTGTATAAGCTACTTCAACATGACATTGAAATGTCCTTTTAGTTGTTTTAGGATTTAATTTTCTATTGATGGTTTTAAAAATCAAGTCATAATAGACTATTTGGGTGCTCAATTTTTTCTCCTGCAAAAGTACCCATTTCCTCCTTTTTCAGTGAATATGTACATACCTGCTTCTAACTTGCCACTGAATTTATCAGGTGAATATATTTTTTTCAAATTTCATCTGCCTTCAGAAGTTTTCCTTCCATACATAAGTTAAGTTCAGACTGATCACAAGAGTGCTGAAGATTTGTTTCTGTCTCTATCTTAAGGTATAAATAGATAAATAAATCCATTTCTTTCTACATATGTTTAATGAGAGGAGTGCACCAATTTCTGGTTTGATGACTTAAATATTTACTTTAATAAAAGAAAAAATTAAGAAGGGTAATCTTTTGTGGGTATCTTCTAGAAGTCCACTACTTAATGATAAATACAAAACCGTTGCTAGCTTTTATTCTCTTTTATTCTCTTGTGGTATCTTCTAGAAGTTCACTACTTCATGATAAATACTAAACCATTGCTAGCTTTTATTCTCTTGTTAGGTTCCACCTGACAATTGTAAACTGCAGTTATACATGATATAATTATATGTTTATATCCTATCCTTCCTATTATCCACAACTGTAAATACGATCAACATTATTTCAAACCATGGCATTTATGGCTATTTTGTTGAGCTTACCATATATATTTTTTTCTACCCAAAGATAATTTGAAACTAAGAGAAGTAAAAAAGCAATGAAAGTGTTATTGAGTATTTCAAATTTAAGATCTCACCTTTCTTTAAAGCATGGGCAATCTAGGTGGTTTCTATATTTGGAGCCACACTCTGTCCACTCTGTTTCAAATTTGTACAAAATAATGATATTGATAACAAGAACTTTATGCTTTATGGGGCTTGTGGAAAAAGAGTAAGGCATAATCAAGCCTCTTTCATGATATGTTGAGATCTATAGGCTTTCTTCAAAGGAATTCTTTGTCCTCACGTTAGAGAAAGGAAGAAGGGAAGAAAGAATCCATTCCTTTTAATACAGAGTCTGTGAAAGTGGTTCAGTGAGGCAGAAAGCTTCATTGCAAGTCTGTGGTACAAGTCCTGTAACAGGCAACAAAGGGAAAGTGAATTTCAAAGGTCTTTTCAAAAAAGTACATTAAAGAACAAAACAAAACCAAACCAATGAAGGGCCAGGTCAAATCAAGGTTTATACCCATGAAAAATAACAAATATGGAGATGTGAAAAAAAACTCCTGTGCTAAATTAGTTTTATTAAATAGACTTACTTTTGTCCTTATACTATACCCCAGACTATTTTTTCCAAATGTGTATATTTCCAAATATTTATATTCCAAAGCATAAAAGCCTAATGCTCAACTTAGACAAAATCATCTTAAAAAAACAAAACAAAACAACCCTCCCCAAAAAACTAGAGACCCAGGGTCCCAATATATCCCGCAGTTTTGGGAATTTGTGTGTGTGTGTGTGTGTGTGTATAAGTGTTTGTGGATACATGTGCATGATTTTTGTGTGTTTTATTATGTTTATACACATCAGACACATTATATATACATTATAATATATACATACACACATATATGTTTGGCCTACAGTGTCTTGGCCCATGACAGATCAATTTTAACATTAATTATCAATGCATAAAATTCATGAGAATTCCCATTTAGAAATCCATATTTTCAGCTTCTTTCGGAAGATGTGAAAATGCCAGGCTAGCAATCTAATATGAAAATCATTTGCTGAAACTCAGCTCTTTTTAGACCAAGAGTATATTCTCCTCTGTTGTGGTTCTTCCTTCTTTTAATATCTCCCAAATGCAGGAGGTCAGCTACCATTTGTGACAGAGTTCGTATTACTTACTTATACATTGAAGAGGAAGTTTTTAACTCCTGTTTCATTAAAAGTAGAAAAATCAGAACACCAGTTGTCCATGTGTTTCAGTTCAATCAGTGCTCCTAGTAAAGGTGAAAAATGTTCATGCAAGGTGTGTAATTGTGAAAAAGACACTGAAAATGTAAACCATACTTAGATAGAGGCCACAATTCAGAAATACCAAATGACTAAAAAACAGAAAGAAATGAACTAAACAAATATCAGACTGGAATTGCCACGTGGTTTCTTTCTTTCTTTCTTTTTTTTGGAGGGATTTCTTGTTTTTACTGATACTTATTTTTTAAACAAGTCTGCTATATGGTAATGCAGTATTTTATTTATTCTGTTCATTAATAACCAATACTCAAGAACTTTTATAATATTAATAGAACTTAATCTAGAAGAATCAACTTACTTTGTTTACATTTCAATATTGGGTACAAGAGAGAGTCAAAAAAATTATGGTCAAAATTATTACATAAAAAATTATAGTAAATGCTCAGTGTTAGTCTACATACAATTTAGTTTTTGGCATAAAGTTATTTAGTTGCCAGGAAGAACGTTTGGTTTACTTCACTAATAGGAATATCTCTGAATGCTGGGATGGCCTCTTGGTATTTCTTCTGCTGTTGATTTTTAGCATAGTTATCTGTGATTGTATGAATGGAGTTGAGTGGAGAGGTACTCACCATGTTTATTCCAAATAAGAGTACGTAACCAATTACTATAGTAACGAGGAAGTAGACGGGCAATGCAACTGCCCAGTATTTTTGAGGCCAGTAGGTTAATCCTAAGGAGTTTAGCCAAGATTCAGGAATAAATGCCCACACAAGATACAGGATGAAGCCAAATTGGGAGCTTAAGAAAAGAACAAAGCCATAAATCGCTCTTTCTGGCAATGGCGACGGTGAATTTTCCACCATTTTCCCTGTGGCTTTAGACAATCTTGGGTCCTCGAAGTGCCCACTCAGGCCCCTCCCGACAGCTCGGCCACTTCAGTGCCGAGTCCCCCACGCAAGCGCCTTCCGGAAAGCCTCCGCGGGGGCGACAGAGGGAAAAACTGATGGAAAGGCCGGGTCGCTACGGTGCCCCCCCTCCCGCTGCCACGTGGTTTATTTCTAATGCTATAGAATAAGTTAGCTTTTCTTTTCGACCATCAATATCTGAACACTGTTTTTAAATTTGGAGAACTTAAAAGATTATTGTAATTATCATATAGAATTGATAGATGATAAATACAATCACATCAGTCGGTTTGAAATCCATTAGATTGAGTTTTTAGAGGAAGTTACTGGTCAAAAACAAAAGGAGATCTTATTTTTTAAATGGAATATTTAATTTGAGATATTGGTATATTTCTGTTTTTCTCCTCTGGCCTTTGTTCTACTGATGTTAGACATTTTACTTGTACATTGTCATAAATGCCATATTACATTATAATTATTGTTTAAAAGGCCAATTATGTTTTAAAAAGACTGAACTAGTAAGAAAAACATGTAATTATATGTGTACTACTCTTCATTCCTTTGTGGGGATCCATTTTTCTATCTGGCATAAAATTGCTTCAGCTTCTCTATGTCTGAATGCATATGAATTGTTCTATCTTTTGCATGTCTAAAAATATCTTAGTTTTGCCTTTGTATTTGAAAGATATTTCTTTTGTTTTCTTTCAGTACTTTATGGGATTTGCTTAACTGTCTTCCCACTTGAATTGTTTCTAATGAGTCATCTGCTGTCATCTTTATCTGTAGACACTGTCTTTTTTCTTGGCTACTTATAAGACTTATTTGTTATCATTGGTCTTAAGCAATTTTATTATGATTTTTTTCATGTTTCTTTGCTTGACTTTATCTTGGACCTGTGAGTTTATTATTTTCAAGTTTTTTTCTCTTAAAAATTTAAAGGTACTGCTCTTATTAGTTATTAACAGAAACAAGTTATTTAAAAGTATGCAGTATAAGTTTTTAAAACTTATTTGAAAATAGGACTTTCTTCTGCTTTTCAAAAGCAACAGTTAATTAATGCTTTTGAATTTTTCATATTTCCATATTTGTTTAATTAAAATTTATTATTATTATTATTAGTAGTAGTAGTAGTAGTACCATATATTTTACTCAGTCTCCCATGCTGGAATCATCCTGGCACCTCTCACTATCCACAAGGTAAATTCAGATTTTGGTTTCTTACGTCAGTGTCATTCACAGTCTATAGCTAAGTTCTCTTGTTTGTCATTTATTTAAACTGTCTTTATTGTACTGAAAGGAGTTCTTTCACTGCATGCTTAGCTTAGGCTGTGTGGAAGATTATTTTGGGAGAACTAGACATTCTTTGTAGTGAGCATAAATCTGTAAAACAATACTGCATCGCTAGTTTATTGTTTCTGTGGCTCTTCCTAATTTTCTCTCTGTACTATCTCACAATGTAACACCAATCATACTGTATAGCACTATTTGTATAACATTATTGTGAAATATAATCTTAAAATAGATATGGAAAGAGAAGTCCTAATGGGAATGCTGGTAGTAGGAATATGCCCCAGAAAATAATGTTCCTTTAGTAAGAAAGAGATGGTTTCTCTCTCTTTAATCAATTAGGAACTTGTGCCCCTAAAGTAAATCTGTAGATACAGTGACAAAGAGTTATAGTCACTCCTGTATTGTTCTCAGCTTCCACTAATAGTCCTCACGATCTCTTGCCTGCTGTAATTAATATATATATATATTTTTTGGAGCCTGTCATATCTCTGATCATCACACTTATTTTTCAGTGCTATTGAAAATTTACATCTCTTTGTTTTCATATTGTTTTAGTGTGAAATCAGGCACTATCTTAAGCCAAAGTCTCATAGAATAAAACTTGGCATTCTTCAGCAACATTGCACATCTTACCTGATTAAGCTGGATGGCGAGATTTCTAAATTCCCTGCAAGAACTGGCAGCAAAAAGTATTAATGTTGCCTTTAAAAAAGCAAAAAAAAAAAAAAAAAAAAAATCCTGTAATGAAAGTGAATTCCCAGGGGAAAAAAATCTGTAGCTTGAAAGCAGGAAATATGTTTGAATTCTGTCCTTGAAAACTTAAATATTATTCCTTAAGATTGTGTTAAATAGTAATGTAAAATATTATTTTTTTAGATTCTTCGTGGTAATATCAGCAGGTTTGAAAAAATGACTAGGGAACTTAGTTTTAACCCAAAAGATCGGCAAGAGAAACATCTACTGTTTCTCTTGGCACAGTTAATAGTAAAATATCTGCCAATAAATCTTGGCAGAATCTTTAAACAGTAGAATTCTACCAAAATTCATTCTCATATACTTTTTGTTTTGTTTCATTTAAGCAAATCAGTAACAAATATTATTTTATGATGTTAAAAATAAGTCGAAGAACTTTTTCTTTTTTTGGAAGAAGAGTTTGAGTATAAGAGCTGTCCAATGTTATCTCAATATTCCCAGTGTGACTGATAAAAATTTATTTGATCTGCGTGCACAGCTTGGAGCAAACACCAGTGTATGCTACTTCCTTCTTTCCCAGAACAGGATTGCTCTCTTATTCTGCTGCTCACACCTACTGTCAAAACCAATACATATCCCATTCATTAGAAAGATGCAGTTATGTTCCAATGACAATCACCTTTTTTTAAACTACACATCATACATCAGTCTTGGACAATGGTTTCCATGTGTGGGTTGTTACTAAAGATTTTGATGGTTTTATTCTATTTGCTTATGTAGTTCCTGCTTTCTGACCAAATTATATTAAGTCATTTAGCCTATCCTTCATTCTCTTCTGAAGGAAAAATAATGTACACAAAGAAAATGAAATAGTCCAGGTGGCTACCTTTCTAAAAAATTTGTGAACTGTACCAAAAAAACCTGAATATTCATTTATGAAATCACAGTAGAGATACTGTCTACTAAGAATTTATCCTCAGTCTTTTATTGAAATATAAAAAGATTTTATTATATCTTTTCCTCTATATTGTTCATATGATTACCTGTGATACTTTCTCTGCCTCTCAGCTCCCACTGGGAACATCACATCTGTGTCTTTCCCACCCCCCGCCTTTCCTCTAATTCCTAAAATTCCTCTGCTTTGATAAAGACTTCTCAAGTAATAGTAAGGATAGTTCTCACGTTTTGAGGACCTATTTATAGAGTGCAAATAGCACTATGTTACATTGTTTGTAATCTTATAAGTAATTCTTCCATTTTGGCATTATTATTTCTGTTTTCCAAATGAGAAAACTAAGGCTTAAAGCAATGAAATATCCTACCAAAATTCATATACCATAATTTATATTAATTTCTGTTCTGGTGTTAACCTCTTCTAGCTTCTAGGACACTATTTGATTACATGTTCTAATCCACTTAATAAGCTCTCAGCTCCTTTGAATATATAAAATATGCCTTATTCATATTTCTACCCCGTCACACCTTACTTAGAACCTGAAATTCAGTAAATGTTTAACACATATGATAAATATAAATAAAATAACATAAAATATTTATATAAATCTGAGGTTTAATGACTTTGTCACTGCAAAGACATGTTAAAATATTTCATATGCATGTTAATATGCATTATTTTATTAATATAAATATTGTTCTTGTTTAATAATGTGTAAATTTAGTTTTCTGAATTTTAGAATCAGCTAGAAAAAAAGCCCAAACACTCATTACTTTAGACTGAGTAAAAACCTCAAAGCATCAAGGGCTTATGCATCCAGCTGGAAGGTCAGTTAAAGCTCCACTCTTTGAAGAAATTTGAGAAAAGCTTACAGTGTAATCCTGTGAGTATGATATTGTAGTTGCCATAAAAACTATTTGAAGAATAAAAATTTTAAGAGCTTTTTGAGAAACAAACAGTACTGAGTTGGGTGATACATATTTCTTCTGTCCTATTGAAAAATAAAACTGCACCTCAGGGAAAAATTCAAATTAACATTCTCTTACTCTTTCTGATAACTAGGGTCCATCCTTCCTATAATCCTAGGGTTCATGTTCAGTTCTGCCTAAATATAACTACAATGTCCTCAAGCCACTGCAAATGTATTTTTCCAATTTTCGAATAATAGTGTAAGAAAATATGGTAAGAACATAGAAACAACGTCCCATATAAATTGGCTTATTTCTAAACACACTATTCTAAACTAATTAAATGAATAAAGCCTGACTGGATGTTTCATCATCTGTGTATTGTATTTTGCCATTTAAGTAGAAATAATTTTACTCTTGAATTATTTTTGTCTCGGCTGTGATGTTCTCTGTTTCACTCATTTTGCTATGCAGAGTGGGAATTATAAAAGATGTTCAATCCCTGATTTTAAGGAATAGCCAATCTTCAGAAGAAAGTATTGCAATAATTAATAGCAATGCAAGTTAGTGTATATCATAGTGATTATAATGAGTGATACTGTTAATAAATATAAAACAAAAAAAAAAAGAAGAAAAAATCGGTGGTAGTATTCAGGGACTTTGTGTTTTGTAAGTAGTCAGGGTTTACCGAGCCCCAAGAAATATGTGTAATTTTGAACATTTGTTCTGCTTGCAGGAAAGTGTGTGTGTGTTTGTGTGTATGTGTGTGTTTCCTTTTACAGCACAAATTTTTATTGTGACTCTGATGAAATCCTGTAATTGCTAAAATGATGAATCACATCCATTATGGCCTCGTTGTTTTGATATGGTGAAATTTAACCTAAAGTTTCTCTCTAGTTCACTGAATTATACTTGGAATATAATGTCTAGTAAACCAGATGTTCTAAACTTCTCGTGTATATGATAACCAGTCTGGGAAATTCTTAGAAAAGTATAGATTCTTAGGATCTATTCTCAGAGATTCTAATTTTTTGGCCTTGGGTTGGCCTGGAAATCTGCATTTTTAATTAGTTTCTTGGCCCACCACCCCCACAAGGGACACTGATAGAGCTGAGCAGTAGAGAACTTCCTGAGAACACTACACGACGCCATCAGGTGAAAGCAGAGTGCTGGCTATTTTTTTTTT